GTGGTTTAAATCTGCCAAGTAACAGGGAGGTTATTCCACTGACTAATACTTTTCACTACCAGGAAAGCTTCCTACTGTTCATCTCAAACTTTCCTTTTCCTCTTTCTTTTAAGCTTTTATCCCATAACTCCTGATTAACGCTCCTCTTCCACGACTGCCCTCCTTCTCCCTAGTTTACATCTTTTAGATATGGTTTTACTGTTTTCTCCAACCACATACAAACAGCTTGTTTTTCTCAGCAGGAGGCAAACGAGTGAGGTCAGTGCAAAAGCACCAGAGCGCAGCGCCCGGGGGGAGAAGGTGCAGAAAACGTTCCAGGTCAGATAGGAATGGAGACAGGGCATAAGGTCCCTCCTTAGGAATCTCTCTTTTTCATCAGCAAAAAAATCCCTCTCCAGGGCCACCCAAAGCCCCAGGTGGTGACAGCTGTCCCTCACCATGTCCCCTCCATTTCATTAATGTGTTGGCTCCCGAGGATTAAAGCAAAGAGCCCATCCAACCCAGAGGCAGATGTAGTTAACAGAAAGCTGCCTGACGGGGGTTCTCAGGGCTGAAAATACAGCGAAGCCTTGGCAAATGCGCTAATACCCGTTTTAGGCCATCAACATTCCAGGAGGTTTAGAGAGGGAAAGTATTTTCAGGGTTTTAAAACCAAGAAAACTAATGAAAAGCAGATCCACAATCTCTTATTTGAATACAATAACATCTCAGTCTCGCTTTATTCAGACATGCAGGGCCTATCTCCTACATTTGTCTATTCAAAAAAACAGCTTTAACAATTGGCTTTAAGAGTCTTATCCAAGAGACCTATTACAACTTGCAGTGGCAGCCATTGTGCTCCGTCTTTTGTGGACAATGTAATTCTTAGTCTTAATCTTAAAATTTTTGAATAGATCATATCTCAGTTATGTAAGAAATTGTACTCTCATTTACAAGCTATCACAATTGCTGCACATTTAGAGCAAGATAAACAAAACATGAGGTTTACAAGGGATAGAAAAAAAACATTCTTATTTGAAGGGTCCAGCTGTAGAATAAACTTGTGGGAGTAATTAGGTATGAACTTACTCTGTCCACTTCTAGGAAACGTTAGAAAACTATCCCATATGATACAGCTTTTCTGCCATAAGAAAAACAGCAACACTGGTTTCAGCTACAGCCCTCTTCAGATATTCAAAGAGCAGCCTACACATCTCTTAGAGCTTCCAGACAGAAGATACTCTTGTTCCTACTTATTGGTGGAAGAAAAAACTGGACATCCATCACATACACATGCCCATATAGAAACATATGTGTTTTAGAGAGTGTGCAGTCTTCCCCTGCAATGGGTAAGAAACTGAAGCAGAGGAAAAGCCTTTCTGTGATGGAAGGTGGGGTTGAAGGGAGTCAATGAAGGGATAGTGAAGTTGTTGTCCCAAAGCCCCATACCTCCAACAAAGTAACTGTCCTAGTTTGCTCTGGTAATTTACTTTATAAGAGAGATCTCGTTCAGTGTGCTGGACTTCAGAGGGAAAGCAAAAGAAATCAAATATGCAAAGAGACAGACCCAATCAAGTCACACTCGCGATCCCATCACTATTTAATCACTCACGATCCCAGCTCACCTTCAAGTCCTGTTATTTAATTAGAACTAAATAAAATGCTGTGTCAAACACTGTAAACAAAAATCTCTTTTAGCTGATATATTTGAATTAATAGAAAATGATTTTTTTATATTCAATTTATAGAGGAGATTTAATTAATACAGAAACATTAATAGAAAAATTTTTATAAAATACAAAAAGCCCAAATGCACTTTAAAAAAAATCACATATTTTTAATATCTACCTCTCCTCCTGACATGTATGCATTAAAAACTCAGTTGGAGCTGCCATTTATAAATCATCATCCCTTTCTTTACTTATGGAGTTTAATTTAACAGAACTCAGCCCCTGTGTATTTGCATTTGAGATGTGCTCATATCAGACCATAACTTCACAATCAGGAGAGCATTATGGAGCTTGAAAAGATCATTATCGGCTCGCTCTGCCCACAGAGCTCAGAATCACCCTGGCTGGTCAGGCTACCCACTCGAGGCAGAAGATAACTCAAATTCCAGCAGATTCAAACAAGATTAAAACCTCTCAGAACCCAACCATGTCAGCACTCCTAGCAGAACTGTCTTTATATTTTTCTTTCAAACAATCCCCTGAGCAAAATGTAGATTAACAGAATTAAAAACAACTTTTGCGTTTGTCCTTTCTCTAGGCATATTCACAAGTCTCCAGTTTGTACTTCTGCGGAGGACTATTATTATACGACTGCTTCATTGCAGCATTCCTCTACATGATTTAAAGTTTGCTAGGGGCAATAAATTTCTGAGGGTTTAAATTCCACCTCTGTCCCCATGCCTGGTATTTCCGCCCGGCTGGTGCCAGCCTTCTAAGGCACCTAGGGGACGGGAACACAAGGTGCAGAGACTGAGGGAGAATGTTGGTCTCCTCTGTGGCCAAGCCTCTTCGGCGTTTTGCATAGCCCAGATCATCTCCGCAGCGGCTGTTGCTATGTTCTTCTCTTTTCCAAGACAACAGTACTAGGTGTTGGGGATTAATGATGCTTCATCTCTCCTCCCTCTACTGGGATGTTACAGCATTTTCAGTAGAAAAGGATTTCTAAGATCCCTCCATTTCTGTGACTAATCAGAGACAACAAAGGGTTAAGGGTCCCTACCTGTTGCCCAGGACCTGCATAACAAAGAGAACATCAGGCCTAGGGGTACAAACCAGCGGAGGATACCCCTCCGTTTGGCTGGTGGAGTCTCTGGGGACTGCAGTCACTGTTGCCTAACCGAGATATATAAATTTATTTAATTTCTGGGCTTTTTTACTTCAAAAGTCAAGTGCTAAGAAAAGGCCTGGAAAAGAATCTGCGACTGACATTTCCTTCCCTTCTACATGGGTGGCACATTTGCTACTTGGCAGGCAACCTAGGATACTTATTTTGACATTTTAAATGATGACGTCTATAGATTTGAGGGAAAAAAACTGACATGCAAGGAATGATAAAGCAGAGAATCACATGAGCTACGAATGGCCATTCATTTCATATCTATAATGCAGTAATTATGAAAGGTTTATAGTTATTTGTTTAAATGGGACAGCGGCCAAGTTTAGAGCTTGTTAACATCAGCAATATTCCTTTAGCAGGTAGGTTGGCTGCTGCATATCCTTTAAGATGTAAGGGTTTTGTTTTGTTCTGTTTTCCTACAGTAAAAACCATCCGAGTGAGCTGACTCTGTTTTACTTGACTTGAGAAAACAGTACTTTAGAAGGTATATTTTTCTAGCAGCTGCATGTATAAAGGGACTACAGTATAACTGTTACAAAGAAAATAATCTTTGTGGAAAGTTTGTACTGCATCTATGACTTTGGATTGGTCTTACAGTTCGTTCTTGAAAAAAGGATGGAAAACTCACAGCCTCAAAACTTTTTAGAAACTGTTTCTGGAAAAAAAAACCCAACAAACAAACCGAAACTAATGAAAATCCGGTTATCGGATTATTTTCAAAACAGATGTATTTCAGACTGGTCAAGGAAAGCCACTACAAAAGAGAGATGTATGCAAAATTAAATTCATAGTACCCTCCATATGCTGTACTACATGGAAAATCAGTATCTATGAGCATCTGCAGGAATTATCTTCAAATTCTAAGGAAAAAATGAAAGTTGCAAGGCACTTCAGAACGTTGTGAAAATATGCTTGGGATTTACTTGACAGCCAGCAGGGTTATTTTATGCCAAGTGTTCATATTAAATGCTTTTTTATATAACATTTTGTACATGGTTTTCAAACTTGTGCTTTACTGAAGAACTCAAGTCAAACAAACCATCCTGATCATATAAAGTTTCCAATTTTAGTGGTCATTTGAACTCAAAAGCCAGAAGGTGGTCTAAATAAAATCAAATGGACTATAAATATAAATGCATGCATATGTGTACACACGTGTGATGGAAATCAAAACTGAAAATAAGAGATAATTAAAAGATCCTTATATGACCAGATGCATATATTATATTAATGATTCCCCCTTGTCCTAAAATGAATTTAAAAAAAGCTACATAGGAAAAACACATTTAAGGTAAAATCGGGGCTTCAGGTACTACATATGAAGTTTGCACTGTCGCCTGCATGAATTCAGTAAAACAAATCACTTAGTTTTGCAAATAAAGAGTGCCTATTACATTATATAATTTGACTGAAAAAGGTTGAATTACCCGATCCTTACTGGCCTTTTTTTTATAGATACAGGCACAAAACATGCATATATTGTGTTGACATGTGTCTCTCTTAATAACGAGTACAATTTAGTTAAAAAATCAAAATAGTGATTAGAAGCTATATAAAAGACTACGCAAATTTTAGTAAAAAAAAAAGGTAGTTGCAAATGTCAGCAGCTCTAATAGCCCCATGGTAAGCCATGCTCCTTTCATCACAGTCAATTCATTAACAGAGGAGAAAAGCCAGAAACTAAGGGAAATGCAGACCATCTGCTTAATCCAGATGCGACAGAACATGCCTCTTATATCCAAAGCTATTTACCAGTGACAAACTAGGATAAGTTTAATCCTCTAATCAAAGATCTAACGAAGATTTTTCAACATCATAGCATCATAAATAAAACTGAACTAAAATAATAGGAATTGAAAGAAAACTTTCCCAGTTTTTCCCAATATTAGCATCTCTCTTTCCATATAAAACAATTTTAATTAATACAGATAACCTAGATACAGCAAATAATATCAAAACAAATAAATGCACATAAGCACTCAACAGAAAAATCCTCATTCTTTGTTGATATGTTTTAAAAATGTCTAATTGGCTTAACTGGCAGTAAGATTTAATTGAAGTATTTAAGTTTTCAGAAACTGCATATATGTTACTTCCATGCAATCCTGGACACATTTTAAAATGAAAACCTAGCCTTTGTACCTTAAAAAGAAATAAGTTGCATAATTTCTTACCTTGAAGTTATGAATCTTCTCATATTTTGGAACATGTTCATTTTCTTTCAGAGTTGCTCTTCTGACAAGTGATGTCAACTGCGAATAAGCAAAGAGTTTAAGAGGTTGCCAGATTGTCACAGATGACTTTTGAGAACCCAGTTTCATCCCCAAGGCTGCTATCAATAAATCTTGTTGACGGCTCTCTTGCTTTGAGTTGTGAACTGTAGCTCTGTTAGCTTTTTGCCCTGACCAAGGCTCTTTGGATGGCATTTTGGAATTGACAGGAAAGAAAAACAGAAGCCTGGATTGAGCTGTGCTCTGTACTTATCGGACTCAATTTAAGAAATCAGAAATGAACATTTCAGAAAGCTAAACCGCTCTGAAGAATGGCATGATCATCACAATGTACTTTTTGGCAAAAGGCTAACTTAACGAGACAGGTTCTTCTCGCTGCTTATTTTTTTAAAGGGATCTGGTCTGATCGTGAAAAACTTAAGGGTCTAAAATATGGATAAAAATCGGAGTCAGTGACAGCGTGAGCAAGCCCAGAGCCTCTTCATCCATTTAGCAAGTCACGTTACTTAGTCAAAAGACGCATATCTAAAAAGCTCAAGCTTCCTACTTAAGAAAGACCCTGATGTCCATTTTGAGTTTGCGCTGCTGACATGCTGCGTGCGGAGCGGTGCAGAGCGGGGGGAGCGCAGCGCAGCGCAGCGCAGCGCAGGGAGCGCAGCGCGGGAGCGGAGCGCGGCTGCTCCGCGCCGCCGGCTCCGGGCAGCAGGAGGATAACGAGCAATGAATGAGTCATGCGGTATTACAAAATGGCATCTTTTTGCATCCCAAAGCTAGAGGATTTCAATAAATGTTCAGTGGCGCACACGCAAGGCTAACACTGTGAACAGGAAAATCAGGAGACATTAAAAAAAAACAGCTCTCTTCTGCCCTCCCCCCAGTCTGACGTGGGTATGGCACCTGGAGGTAAAGCTGAGAGTAGCTCTAGCATCAGTTAATGTGACTGCTGATGCTCATTGTTCATCCTTTAAAATTACATTTTTCAGCGTTTTTCTTATAAAAAGATGCTCAACCATGTGACAGTCTCCTCTACTTCCAGTAGAGAGGAGCACAAAAGCCTCTGGAAGTTCTTTATACCACTCTTTCTACCAACGACCTAAAACTGGATTTGCTATGGCACCTCTCTGTTGGGATATATGGACATTGACAGAAGGTGAATGACAAATAGTCTCAAATCATACTGAAACCTACAGACTGGACTGATGCAACTGATGACGAAACGTGCACAGCACAGGACCATCCAGTCCTTGCGAGCTCTACTACAACCAAAGGAAGCAGTATTTCACACAAGCATAATTAAATTGTTGAACTCATTGCCACAGGATGAAGCAGAGGCCAATGTATAATGGGCTCAAAAGGGATTAGATGAACGTCCGGAGGATATCGATACCCATCGGGAGCTATTCATTGCCACTGCCCAGCTCAGGAAGTCCCTATTAGCTGCCTGTTGACGGCAGAGCGGTGTGCCACTAGGAACACTTAATCATGCCCTTTTTCTTCTAGCGCTCTCCAAGCATTTACTAACAGTCCTTGTCAGAGACAGCAACAACGGACCTTTGCTCTGACATGCGTTACACTGTGGGGCTGCCCAGCGTTCTGCGACGCTCAGGGTTCAGCAGGGACCTCTCCATGTATACCACCGGCTTGTGCAACTCGCCACAGCGCAGCCCTCCTCTCCCTTTCCTCAGACTGCCTACCTGCAGCGCCACACTTCCCCCTCTCCAGCAAAGGCGACAGAGGTATTTTTATCCCTCATGACTCAGTAACAACCAAAGACAAGCAGTTTGTCGCAGGCTTCGGGGTGGAAGTGGTGTGTGTTCTGCAGCTGCATCACAGTGTTAACATTTAGCTCAGTCCCGCAGACAAGGATCAGAAAAGCAGCGTTCTTCCACTGCTTCCTTGCGGGGCCACCAATACCCTCTCTACAGGTCTGTAAAATCTATGAGGCTTCAACACAGGCGTAGGTTGCAAGGATTTCAGTTCTACAAATACACTTCACCAACCACTAATTTGTATTGCAAGTTAATAGCTAATGAACAGAACACCAGCTATAGGTTTTATAGGATGAAGCTGTCAGGCCTTAGTAGCTCATAGGCAGGCCTTGTTTCCATACAGACAGGAAGTGGTTAATAGGACGTTGAAACCAGCTTCCAAACTATTTGCAGCGTTGCCCCGGCCACCATTCTGCTGAGAAATAACTTCCCATCTCAATAACCTTAATCTGCCTCTCTTGGTTTTAATCACTTATTTCTGCTGCAGGTGAATAGACGGTCTTCTCTCACATTTCCCTGCATATCCCTCTATATATATAGTATAACCTTACATTGCAATAGGAAATAAAAAAAAAAAAGAGGTAAGCAGTAAGATATGACAAAAACTAGCTGCAGCATTTAAGCGGAAATAGCAGGAAAGTAACTCAGTGGAGAAGGAAGCAGATAGGTTTTCAAGTTCATTTTCTCTCTTCTTTCTAGCTAAAGTCATTTCACAGTTTTGTTCCCAAGCACTAGACCAGGCAAAAGTCCTCGTGGAACAACAT